GTCATGGGCGTCCAGAAAACATTTGGGCAACACCTTCATGGGTGTCAATGAAAACATGGGGCAACACTGTCATGGGTGTCATAGAAAACATTTGGGAAACACTGTCATGGGTGTCGATGAAAACATTGGGGCAACACTGTCATGGGTGCCCATCAAAACATTTGGGCAACACTGTCATGGGCGTCCAGAAAACATTTGGGCAACACCTTCATGGGTGTCAATGAAAACATGGGGCAACACTGTCATGGGTGTCATAGAAAACATTTGGGAAACACTGTCATGGGTGTCGATGAAAACATTGGGGCAACACTGTCATGGGTGCCCATCAAAACATTTGGGCAACACTGTCATGGGCGTCCAGAAAACATTTGGGCAACACCTTCATGGGTGTCAATGAAAACATGGGGCAACACTATCATGGGTGTCATAGAAAACATTTGGGCAACACTGTCATGGGTGTCGATGAAAACATTGGGGCAACACTGTCATGGGTGCCCATCAAAACATTTGGGCAACACTGTCATGGGTGTCCAATAAAAAAATTTGGGCAACACCTTCATGGGTGTCAATGAAAACATTTGGGCAACACTGTCCTGTGTGTCATTGAAAACATTTTGCAACACTGGCATGGGTCTCCGTGAAAACATTTGGGCAACACTGCCATGGGTGTCAGTAACCACCCATCATAGAATTCACACGTGCCTCCCATAAGGCCATATTATTATGTCACACGTGCCTCCCTCCCATAAGGCCATATTATTATGCCGCACGAAATGCAAATATCGTACAGAATTTTACTTTACACAAAGCCATAAAGGGAAGGAATTCAAAGTGGGAAAGTGTTTGCGCTTGCATGTGTAAGTATGTGGGTTTGTGGGTTTGGTCTTTGTTGTTTTGTTTTTTCCCGTTTCACTGCTGCTGTAACTGACGTTGTCTTTTCAGAGAGACGTTTTATGACAACTCAAGATGTCACCTTACAATGCCGTGGTGTCCGAAGATTCGAACCGACGTATAAAAGACGTTTGGTTTGAATCTATGCCATACCTAGATATAATTGGGAATGTTTATATTCGTGTTTGAGCGGGGGGGGGGGGGATTTTTTTAGGTTTTTGGAATCCGGTTTCAAATTGTTACACACATCAAGGTCAGACTGGCATGACATATCAAAAGATTGAAAGTGGCATTTGAACGTGTGATATTTTATAAGAACGATTGAAAGTATACTATCTGAAGACCTGACAAAACAAATCTTCTTTAGAACTATTGACAGTGTACCAGTCTGAAGACCTGACAAAACAAATCTTCTTTAGAACTATTGACAGTGTACCAGTCTGAAGACCTGACCAAACAAATTTTCTATTAGAACCATTGACAGTGTACCGCTCTGAAGACCTGACAAAATAAATCTTCTATTAGAACCGTTGACAGTGTACCGGTCTGAAGACCTGACAAAACAACTCTTTTATTAGAATTATTGACAGTGTACCAGTCTGAAGACCTGAAAAAACAACTCTTTTATTAGAATCATTGACAGTGTACCGGTCTGAAGACCTGACAAAACAAACCTTCTATTAGAACCATTGACAGTGTACCAGTCTGAAGACCTGACAAAACAAATCTTCTATTAGAACCATTGACAGTGTACCAACCTGAAGACCTGACAAAACAAATCTTCTATTAGAACCATTGACAGTGTACCAGTCTGAAGACCTGACAAAACAAATCCTCTATTAGAACCATTGACAGTGTACCAGCCTGAAGACCTGACAAAACAAATCTTCTATTAGAACCATTGACAGCGTACCATTCTGAAGACCTGACAAAATAAATCTTCTGTTAGAACCATTTAAATGATACAAATCAGAAGACCTGATAAAACAGCTCTTTTTTTTTCTATACCAGAGTTAAGCTCCGTGAGAAAAATTAGTTAGCTCTTACAAAGCAAGTTCTGAAGAGCTTATATTTATGACCACGCTGCAGTGAAAAATACTTGCACAATGTTATCTGCGCTTACCCAAACTTGCTAGTTTATACCTGTAGCTCAGTATGCGCCTGCAAATATAAATCAGCTGGCATTTCATTAAAAATGGCGACATTCTCTCGAAAAAATACATTCCAGTTCCCATTATGTCTCAACGTCGACTGACTCCGATCCAGAGCGTGTACGTACATACACGAGAGCGAGTACCTATTAAAGGGCTACATTGTAATGCTGATGATTTTAAAGTTTTCATTATATTTATTGATTAAAAGTTTGATTAAACCCTAAATTGAAAAAAAAAAGTGTATATATATATACACACACAGTCGAACCCGCTTATCTCGACCTCGGTTGACTAGCCAACCTCGTTATGCCGACGTTTTTGAAGTGGAGCCGACAAATTCTCACTTTGTCTTAGCATTTTCTCCTCGGTTGTGTCGATTCTTTTATGTCACCGAACCCTGATATCTCGAGCACAAAAGGCGGCCAAATTTGCCACTTAACCTCGGTTATCTCGACCCGGCTTTTGAAAATTATATACAACAGAAACGTGCCTACTTCAAACTGTAGCAATTCAAATGAAAAGACAATATCGTTTTCCGCGCCATTAACTTGACCCAGCAAGAAGCGAGGAGCGAGAGGCTTGCAAACAAAAGAGAGGGTCGCATTACCTGTTCTATTTATAGCAAACCCGCTTGTCGCGTAATACTTAATAGGCTTTCACGCGTTCTTACAGGTTGACTTTTTTTTTTTTTAAACCTAGAACCCGCATTTGAATAAACAGAGCAGGCGAAACCGGAGCGAGAGAAAATAAAAACTCGCGAATCCAGAGCTGAAATATAATTAGCGTCACGAATCCGGAATTCCGGAATAAACCGGAAAAGTGGCACTCCACATATGCCTTGTGTTGCTAGCTAACATGTGTGTACATTTGTATAGCATGCCGATCGCTTCATCAAACTAATCGCGGTAACGCTGTTGTGCATAAAAAAAAAAAAAAACAACTCCAAAAACTCGTGCTGCACATCTCATTTATAAACGCGCATCGTATACATAAATTTAAAGCACATGTTAATATATTTCCACCATATTGGTTTTCGTTTATCTCGATCATCGGTTATCTCGACGCTTTTTGGAAAACCTCGAGGCCGTCGACATAACCGGGTTCGAATGTATACATATATACACGCACACATATACATATATATATGTAATATGTGGCAAAGAATAGAAAATATGGCAAGAAAACATGCACTCTGGGGTGAGGAATAGAAAGTATCGCAAGGAAACATGTACTCTGGGGTGAGGAATAGAAAGTATCGCAAGGAAACATGTACTCTGGGGTGAAGAATAGAAAGTATCGCAAGGAAACATGTACTCTGGGGTGAAGAATAGAAAGTATCGCAAGGAAACATGTACTCTGGGGTGAGGAATAGAAAGTATCGCAAGGAAACATGTACTCTGGGGTGAGGAATAGAAAGTATCGCAAGGAAACATGTACTCTGGGGTGACGCGTGGAAAATGCAATCATTGCTTTATTGGTTCTTCTTGTTCAAATCGTGATCTACTTGGGCTTTCCTAAAGCGATGGTCCCACACGGTGCGGTTGGGATAGCTGAGCAGTTAACACCGTGCTTCAATACCTTTCAGCCAACCAACAATTTGTTTTAGAAATACATTTGGTCACGGACTGTCCTTTAAGGAAAATTTACAGGAATTCGGCATATGTGGAAATCTGCTCAAGCAACTACGCTAAGTAAAGACAGCATTCGAGAGATTTGTGTGTGTGTGCATAATTAACAATAGCTTAAACACAAATTTGAGGAATTTAGCATAAATAACAATGGTTAAGTGTAGTAAGTAGAAAGATGTCTTGTTGGTTGTTTTTTTGTGTTTTTTTGTGTGTTTTTTTTTGGGGGGGGGGGGACTTTGTGGTTAACGATAACAGGGGATGCGGGACAGACCATCAAAGTTGGTGTTGTAAATGTTTGGAAGTTGGTGTTGTAAGTGTTTGGAAGTTGGTGTTGTAAGTGTTAGGAAGTTGGTGTTGTAAATGTTTGGAAGTTGGTGTTGTAAGTGTTTGGAAGTTGGTGTTGTAAGTGTTTGGAAGTTGGTGTTGTAAGTGTTTGGAATTTGGTGTTGTAAGTGTTTGGAAGTTAATAAACTGTTTGAAAATTGGACGTTTCAGGGTTTGGAAGTTTAGCGATTTAAGTTTGTTGTTAGTTGGTGGGCTTGATTGTATTTGTGTGTTTCCCATCATAATTCCGTGTTTCCCATCACATGTCCGTGTTTAAACGTGTTGCCCACCACGTGTCCGTCTATGGACATTTTTCCCAATCACATTTTCCGTGTATGTCCTTGTTTGCCACCACATGTCCGTGAATAGACGTGTTTCCCATCATATATTCTTGTCTCCCATCATATGTCCGTGCTTCCCATCATGTATTCGTATGTCCCTTCATATGTCCGTGTTTCCTTCATGTATTCGTATGTCCCTTCATATGTCCGTGTTTCCCCATCATATATTTGTGTCCCCTTCATATGTCCGTGTTTCCCATCATGTATTCATGTCTCCCTTCATATGTCCGTGTTTCCCATCATATCTTCGTGTCTCCCTTCATATGTCCGTGTTTTCCATCATATATTCGTGTCTCCCTTCATATGTCCGTGTTTCCCATCATATATTCGTGTCTCCCTTCATATGTCCATGTTTCCCATCATATATTCGTGTGTCCCTTCATTTGTCCACGCATGTCCTTGTTTCCCATCATATGTTCCGCGTCCCATGTGTGTAAACATTGAGAGTTCCACACGACAAAGACAGGGGTAACAAAATGTGTGGTAACCTATATATCCATGTCCTTGCCCCAATCCGCGACGTTACTGTTCCCCCGCCCCTGACATCGCACACCCCCTGTCCAGGCCGCCACCTACTACTCGCCCTCCCCCCCTCTCCGTCACCACCACCACCAGCGTACACACTAACAAGCATGGTTCAGCTCATTATTACTATCGTCTGTCTGCGGAGGAAGGTCTTTCTCTGACAAACAGGATTGTGCGTTAAAGTGCTTTAGCTAACGAAGGCAATTATTTTCCTGCTGTAAGGTAGGAAGGACATCGTTGACCTGTGGTTTTAACGTACGTGCTCTATGTCCACAACAAATTCTCGTTTTTGCTTCTATGTTCCACAACAAATTCTCGTTTTTGCTTCTATGTTCCACAACAAATTCTCGTTTTTGCTTCTATGTTCCACAACAAATTCTCGTTTTTGCTTCTATGTTCCACAACAAATTCTCGTTTTTGCTTCTATGTTCCACAACAAATTCTCGTTTTTGCTTCTATGTTCCACAACAAATTCTCGTTTTTGCTTCTATGTTCCACAACAAATTCTCGTATTTGCTTCTATGTTCCACAACAAATTCTCGTTTTTGCTTCTATGTCCACAACAAATTCTCGTTTTTGCTTCTATGTTCCACAACAAACTCTTAATTTCCTTTCAGACTCACATATTCCTTATTTCTCTAATGATGAATCATATTCTTCTAGTTTTTAATGGTGTATTATAACTAACTCTTCCACCTTACCCTTTCCCCGTCTTCCACATAACCCAGTTTCTATCCTCCACATTACCAAACCCCGTCCTCCACATTACCCAGTCTCCGTCTTCCACATTACCCAGTCCCTGTCCTGCACATTTTTACACATTTTTAAGAAAATAACCAGTGGGTCCAAGCGTAACAATTAAAAAGGGTTAACCTCTTATATATGCCATCCTTTAAACAATAGTCCTACAGCCAGTCCTACACCCAGCCCACTGGCCTTTAAACAATAGTCCTACAGACAGTCCTACACCCTACCCGCTGGCCTTTAAACAATAGTCCTACAGACAATCCTACACCCTACCCGCTGGCCTTTAAACAATATACATTGTGGGTCCGAATAGCGGCCAAGAGTGTCCATGTCCCTTAGTTTAGACTAAATGCTATTCGGATGTCATTTGTTGTAGTTCACCAAAGAAGTAGGTTCACAAACATGTCGCCCATTCAATTATCTTTCATTTGATCCCTCATTTTGTCTTACAAAACCTACACTAATCTTTAAATATTTTGTTTATCATCACAAACTCTCACTTTTGATACCCGGATCCGAATAGCCGCAGCCTCAAACAATGGGCCCTATAGACAGTCCTTCACCATACCCATGGCTCTTTAAACAATGGGTCCCACAGACAACATTTCACCATACCCATGGCTCTTTAAACAATGGGCCCTACAGACAGTCCTTCACCATACCCGTGGCTCTTTAAACAATGGGCCCTACAGACAGTCCTTCACCATGCCCGTAGCTCTTTAAACAATGGGCCCTATAGACAGTCCTTCACCATACCCGTGGCTCTTTAAACAATGGGCCCTATATACAGTCCTTCACCATACCCATGGCTCTTTAAACAATGGGCCCTATAGACAGTCCTTCACCATACCCGTGGCTCTTTAAACAATGGGCCCTATAGAAAGTCCTTCACAATACCCATGGCTCTTTAAACAATTGGCCCTACAGACAGTCCTTCACCATGCCCGTGGCTCTTTAAACAATGGGCCCCACAGACAACAATTCACCATACCCGTGGCTCTTTAAACAATGGGCCCTACAGACAGTCCTTCACCATGCCCGTAGCTCTTTAAACAATGGGCCCTATAGACAGTCCTTCACAATACCCATGGCTCTTTAAACAATGGGCCCTATAGACAGTCCTTCACCATACCCGTGGCTCTTTAAACAATTGGCCCTACAGACAGTCCTTCACCATACCCGTGGCTCTTTAAACAATTGGCCCTACAGACAGTCCTTCACCATACCCGTGGCTCTTTAAACCATGGGCCCTACAGACAGTCCTTCACCATACCCGTGGCTCTTTAAACAATGGGCCCTACAGACAGTCCTTCAACATACCCGTGGCTCTTTAAACAATGGGCCCTATAGACAGTCTTTCACCATACCCGTGGCTCTTTTTTGATTAATAATAAATAGGAGCCTCCACACTAAAAAATAAAAAAACAACAACTATTTTTCCGAGTTCAACCATCACGCATGACGCTCACTGCATTGCGGCTGCGTGACAGCCTTTCCCCCCCTCCCCACTCAGTACTCTTGATATAAGATGTGAAGTTAAAGGGGGGGGGCGTACGAAGAAGAAGCAGGACTCAATAGAGAGCAAAATATACGTAAGATATATAAATATATATTAACCATGTTAAATCCAGTGATGACCTGTAGAATTGTCTTGTGACCAGCTTTGAGTAAATGAGAGCGTCCAGTGATCACATGTCTTGTGACAAGATGTGCTCACTCTGTGACCTAGTGGCAGATTTAGTGGTCAAGGTCGATCAGTCGGAACTCTGAACGTCCCAATCTAAGTTTACTTATTAAATTGGAGTCGGAGCATTTTCCCCGGGGGGGGGGAGGGGGGGTGTCAAAGGAAATACGACATCGAAAGTCAAAATTCGTAGGCTCATTTTTACTGGTACAACATCCACACTTCACCCTCTCATTGATATCGGTACAACATCCACACTTCACCTTCCCATTGATATCGGTACAGCATCCACCCTTCGCCCTCCCATTGATATCGGTACAGCATCCACCCTTCGCCCTCTCATTATATCGGTACAGCATCCACCCTTCGCCCTCTCATTGATATCGGTACAACATCCACCCTTCGCCCTCTCAGTGATATCGGTACAGCATCCACACTTCGCCCTCTCATTGATATCGGTACAGCATCCAATCGTGACCCTCACATTGATATCGGTACAAGATACACAATTCACCCTCTCATTGATATCGGTACAGCATCCACACTTCACCCTCCCATTGATATCGGTACAACATCCACACTTCACCCTCCCATTAGTATCGGTACAACATCCACACTTGGCCCTCTCATTGATATCGGTACCACATCCACACTTTACCCTTCTATTGGTATTGGTACAACATCCACACTTCGCCCTCCCATTGTTATCGGTACAACATCCACACTTTATCCTCCTCTTGGTATCGGTGCAGCATCCACACTTCACCCTTCCACTGATATCGGTACAACATTCACACTTTACCCTTCTATTGCTCTCGGTACAGCATCCACACTTCACCCTTCCACTGATGTCGGTACAACATAATTACGTTACTTTTCTATAGCTACAACGCACTTGTTCAACTCGTCTTAGGGAAAATAGAATTGGTGAAATCCGTTTACTTTTGTGTCGGTATCATACATTTATTTTGAGGTTGCTTAGTTTTCGTTACTTGCCCAAACCCTAACCTCTCCAGTTCAAACCCAAGCCTATTTGGTTGTTAAAGTTTACCTAAGAAGGGACTGATCAGGTAACTTGACATTTGAAAGGAAAGTGAATGCAAATACGCGCATACACTTTCAATCCGTCTAGGCCAGGGGTCGGGAACCTTTTAGTCTGAGAGAGAGCCATGGACACCACATACCTTGAAAAGTAATTCTATGAGAGCCATACATTATATTTAAAGTAACACACGTCACACCTAAAAAAATCAAAACATACATAACATTTTCATAACTAAACTAAGTTTTAAAAAAAATTCTTTAACATTTTCCCATAATGGATTAAGATGATGTATTATTAGAAAACTGTGTTTCATCGTACCTATGACTATGATACCTGAGGCAATTTCGACCTCAAATTAATGTTTTTTTAAATTAATTAATTACAGATTTTTTTCAAAATTAGAAAATTTTAGATTAAAAAAAAAAAAAAAAAAAAAAAAAAAAAAAAAGGTGACGTCACAATTTTTTTTACCCCTCTTCCCGTCACAAAATGTCACAAATTCTCGACCCCCTCCCTGCCCCTTTTTCCCCCTGAGCGTGACGTAATTTGCGAACGACCCCTAGGTACTTCCAGAGGAAGCTGACCTTCTCAACAATGCGCACTGCAGGATTTAAGCGATCAGTGAGTCCACCAATAGCATTGTCCCTTATGACAAAGAAGGCAGACTTTCTGAAATATGCTTCCTCCCCCAGGATATGCACCACTTTAACCTTGTTTTGATAAATCTTCTGCAGTACCTTGATAATGGAACCACTTTATTTTTCTTCCCCCCCCCTCTCCCTCCCCCCACGGGTTCCAGAGAGTTTCACGTCCACGCACAAATTAGAAGCAACCTGCTTATCTTCNCTTCTCAACAATGCGCACTGCAGGATTTAAGCGATCAGTGAGTCCACCAATAGCATTGTCCCTTATGGCAAAGAAGGCAGAATTTCTGAAATATGCTTCCTCCCCCAGGATATGCACCGCTTTAACCTTGTTTTGATAAATCTTCTGCAGTACCTTGATAATGGAACCACTTTATTTTTCTTCCCCCCCCCTCTCCCTCCCCCCACGGGTTCCAGAGAGTTTCACGTCCACGCACAAATTAGAAGCAACCTGCTTATCTTCGTGCCACATACTTTTTCAGTTGTTTTTTTCCGACCATTTTTCAGTTCTGAAATCAAGCTTTTTTAAGTTGGACACTAAGTCATCCAGTGTTGCATTTATAGACTGGATAACCTTGCTGCAGCTATCAAATGGAACTTATACTGTGCACCATACAACAGACATCAGCGCTTAAATGAAGGATGTGACATAAGACAACGCTCCACACAACAGACATCTGCTCTTAAGTGAAGGATGTGACATAAGACAACGCTCCACACAACAGACATCATCACTTAAATGAAGGATGGGACATAAGACAATGCTTCACACAACAGACATCTGTACTTAAATGAAGGATGTGACATAAGACAACGCTCCACACAACAGACATCTGCACTTAAATGAAGGATGTGACATAAGACAATGCTCCACACAACAGACATCTGCACTTAAATGAAGGATGTGACATAAGACAACGCTCCACACAACAGACATCTGGACTTAAATGAAGGATGTGACATAAGACAACGCTCCACACAACAGATATCAGCACTTAAATGAAGTATGTGACATAAGACAACGCTCCACACAACAGACATCTGCACTTAAAAGAAGTATGTGACATAAGACAAAGCTCCATTTTTATCTGTGTTCTTGTTTGTGGCACTTTGGTTAAACTCAAAGAGGTCTTTTCGTAATGCAAATTTGATGCCTCACATGTGGGATACTAAGAGCTTTAAACGTCCAACATGGTCTGACCATCGTGTGCACGTAATATTTAATCCAGACTCCTGCATTTTTAACTATTTAAGGTAAGGTCTCATTTAAGTAACCAAAAAGCACCAATGTCTATAGCAGGTCGGCACAACTCAAAATTAAAGGCGGGCCGTTATCCTTAATGAAAAATTTGCGCATGCCGAAAAAAAAATAGGACAAGAAAGGGGGGGGGGAGCTATTAAGAAAATAATAATAAAAGAGATTATTTCGTGACTTCGTAGGCCGCCAAAATGGTGCTGCCAAGCCGCAAGGGGCCCATGGGCCGTAAGCTGGGCAGGCCTGGCCTATAGGACTGTATCTATGATACACCACTAGCATTGCTTTTGTTGCTCCCCCCATTAAATGTAGAATGATGCTAAAAAAAATTTCAGGTATTCGCCAAAATACATCAATACATTTTGAATTTATCCAATTTTTCTGAGGAGGAGTTCAATGTTTTCATTTATGATTTATAACGCTTCGTCTTACAGCCACCGACACACTGCAGCCTGAACTTCACACTGCAGCCTGACCTTCTCACTGCAGCCTGACCTTCACACTGCAGCCTGACCTTCACACTGCAGCCTGACCTTCACACTGCAGTCTGACATTCACACTGCAGCCTGACCTTCACACTGTAGCCTGACAACCACCACCACCACCAGCGCGATCTTCGTGACGCGAAGTCTACGATGCCCTCGCAAAAGTTCGAACTGACAGACATCTCAAGCAGTGAGACCAATCTGACCAGCATGCGAGAGGGCAGGACTGGCGGCTGCTACCTCAGCACGTTGGTGGGTTTCATCTTCGTCCTGCTGGCGGCTGCCGTCGCTGTGGGAGTAGGAATCATCGTGCACTTTGCCGGCGGCAATAGGGAGGTGATCTGTAGATGTGAACCTTCATCGAGTGCGATATCAGCTGAGGCTATCAAGAGTCAATGCATGGACATGGCCAGCGCTAGGAACTCAGAATTGTGTGAGTAAAAAATAATTTAACTAGAAATGTCAAAGTAAAGAAAAACCTTAACTAGAGATGTGCAAGTACACAATAACTTAGCTAGAGATGTGTAAGTACACAATAACTTAGCTAGAGATGTGTAAGTACACAATAACTTAGCTAGAGATGTGTAAGTACACAATAACTTAACTAGAGATGTGTAAGTACACAATAACTTAACTAGAGATGTGTAAGTACACAATAACTTAGCTAGAGATGTGTAAGTACACAATAACTTAGCTAGAGATGTGTAAGTACACAATAACTTAGCTAGAGATGTGTAAGTACACAATAACTTAGCTAGAGATGTGTAAGTACACAATAACTTAACTAGAGATGTGTAAGTACACAATAACTTAGCTAGAGATGTGTAAGTACAGAATAACTTAACTAGAGATGTGTAAGTACACAATAACTTAGCTAGAGATGTGTAAGTACACAATAACTTAGCTAGAGATGTGTAAGTACACAATAACTTAGCTAGAGATGTGTAAGTACACAATAACTTAACTAGAGATGTGTAAGTACACAATAACTTAACTAGAGATGTGTAAGTACACAATAACTTAGCTAGAGATGTGTAAGTACACAATAACTTAACTAGAGATGTGTAAGTACAAAATAACTTAGCTAGAGATATGTAAATGCACAATAACTTAAGTAGAGATGTGCAAGTACGAAATGACTAGAAAAACCCGTCAAAATCACGTACAAAATAAAGTGTTTTAAACTGATGACGTAGTTTAAGTTTGACGCCAAGTTTTTTTTAGTACTGCTTAAGAAATAAATAGGGATTGATCCAGTGAAGAAGATGTGACAGATGACAGATGAGGCTTTTACAATATACCACAGGGTAAAACTTATGACAGTTGCGATGTCTTCAAAACACCAAGTGTCGAGTGTGTGACAGATGTCATGTCTGTCTTTACTAAACTAATGTGTGACTGATGACATGTCTGTCATTGCTACACGCCGTGAAGAAAATTCTATAGACAACAAGTTGTGTATAATTCAACTTGGAACGAGAGGCCACCAAAAATGTGAGAATCACTGGCAGTCTTCACTTTAAGTCCGTCCTTGTTAACGACACTCCGCTTGTACGACCGTCTCTCCGGCCGAAAAAAATTACGTCCATCCCTCTGTTGCCACAGCCCACATAGGGCTTTGGCTTGCCTCACCACTTCCTTCCACTCAGATCTAATTGATGCTTTTCTTATACATTCTTGGATTCCCAGCTGCTGGTAGATCTTTCTCCGCATCATCCATCCAAATAGGACAATATCTGACATTGAGCTGTTTTCCTCTGAGATTTTGGTAGTGCACCCTCTCCAGTCCTCTGTCATTTGACATTCTTTCAAAGTGTCCCGCCCAGCGTAGCCAAAGTGTCCCGCCCAACGTAGCCAAAGTGTCCTGTCCAACGTAGCCAAAGTGTCCTGTCCAACGTAGCCAAAGTGTCCTGTCCAACGTAGCCAAAGTGTCCTGTCCAACGTAGCCAAAGTGTCCTGTCCAACGTAGCCAAAGTGTCCTGCCCAACGTAGCCAAAGTGTCCTGTCCAACGTAGCCAAAGTGTCCTGTCCAACGTAGCCAAAGTGTCCACCCAACGTACCCAAAGTGTCCTGTCCAACGTAGCCAAAGTGTCCTGCCCAACGTAGCCAAAGTGTCCTGTCCAACGTAGCCAAAGTGTCCTGGCCAACGTAGCCAAAGTGTCCTGCCCAAAGTAGCCAAAGTGTCCTGTTCAACGTAGCCAAAGTGTCCTGCCCAACGTAGCCAAAGTGTCCTGGCCGACGTAGCCAAAGTGTCCCGCCCAACGTAGCCAAAGTGTCCTGTTCAACGTAGCCAAAGTGTCCTGCCCAACGTAGCCAAAGTGTCCTGCCCAACGTAGCCAAAGTGTCCTGTCCAACGTAGCCAAAGTGTCCTGGCCAACGTAGCCAAAGTGTCCTGCCCAACGTAGCCAGCCCTTTTTTTTAAAAAAAATTTCTGCCACTAGTGTGGGATCCTGACATGGTCCAAAAAAGTCCTGTTTGGTTCCTATTTTCCATCCATATTCATCCTTTGTTGATCCACATATTTTCTGGAGAGCATTTCTCTCCCATGTGTTTAATAGGTTTTCTGCCGTTTTTTTTAATAGGGTCCAAGTTTCTCTTGCGTATGTTACAACTGGTCTGATTACAATGTTATGAATAGTTTGTTTGTTTTTTCTTGTAAGGTTTTACTGAGTATTTCTGACTACTGAAGTAGGCTTTGTTCCCGGCCGATAAACTTTTTAAAAATATTTATGTTAGTGTTTTCTTTAATTTAATAAAGATCCTAGGTATTTGAATTTTTTCAAAATGTGGAATCTTAATTTAATGGTTTCACCTGCCTGTTCTTCTCTTAGCATAGTCATGTATTTTTTATTTAATTGTTTTTTTGGTTGTTAACTTCCAGCCCAGCTTGTAGTGATGCGTCTTCTAATTCTTAAAGGTTTTTTGTATATTCATATATTTTGGTCCATATGTCTATATATGTATGGGTGCTTGGTGGCCTTTTAAGATTGTTATGTCCTACTATTGTATGCAAAAAGCAGGCGTTTCTTTGTCGTCGAAGGACTTTAGACTTCAGGTTTGTCTTTGCCGTGTGTTCTACAGGTCGATTTCTTAGTAACAAAGCAGTAGTAACAAAAAGTCTTGTTTCAGGCCAGAAATGTTCATCAAGTTCATCAAGTGCAATTATGGTTTCTACGACATCCACGCCACGGACGGCCGGGTCAACAGCAGCCACGACACCCAGCTCAAAGGTCAGGGACGTTCGACTGCCGACGTCTTTGTACCCCATCCACTACAACGTGGAACTACAGCCTTACATGAACTGGTCAGACCCTGCCAACTACACATTTAGGGTAGGTCAGACCCTGCTAAATACAAATTTAAAGTAGGTCAGCAACTGCCAACTACATATTTAAGGTATGTCAGAACTGCCAACTACACTTTTAAGGTATGTCAGAACTGCCAACTTCACAATTTAGGTATGTCAGAGCTGCCAACTATACATTTTAGGTATGTCAGAACTGCTAACTACACTTGACAGTTTAGTTGGAATCATGAACTCTTTCACCTCTAGAGCTTCTTAGAGATAATATGAGATAAGATACGATAAGATAAGATTGTTTAATCGATCCCAAAAATGGATATTTTTTTTTATTACAACTTAGACAATCATTTTCAGGTCGTATATACATATTCTTACACAGACAGAGATTTTAAAGCTAGAAAATTTAAACACAAGACATCTAATGAATTTCTCAGTTGCAAAAACAACCAATGATTAGGCCACGGAAACTCATGACTTTACGCCTCCATTCTACATTTCTCTAGTGTCCCCGTATTCTGTCTAACGGTTCACGCCTTCCCACAACTGCTCTTTGCCACTCTCTTATTGTGTTTTACTCCTACTCTTCCCTAAGGGTCACGTCAAAATCTGGATCAGATGCGACAAAGTCACAGACAATGTGACCCTGCACATCAACGAGCTGAATGTGGATCCCGGCTCCATACGGTTCAGCGCAGAGGTCGCCGCGGCAACAGATCCCGTGTACGTCTCGTGGGCGGAGGACAAGGATAGGCAGTTTTTAATTGTTACGCTCAGTAAGAATATGCAGGTGAGGCCACGTAACACGTCACGTGACGGACAGTTTAAAAAAAAAGAAGAAAAAAAAAAAAAAAAAAAAAAAAAAAAAAACGTTTTCGTAAATCTTGGTAGAGGGGTTCTCAAAATTATTGTGGGGCAGCTTTACTCCCTCTTTTTAAGAGAGTGAGTGAGTGAGAGAGAGAGAGAGAGAGAGAGAGGGGGGGGAAGGAGAGAGAGAGAGAGAGAATCATGCAATTTCAATGCCTGCAGAAACAGTTGTTGCCAATAAAGTAGGAAGGCCAATTTAATACAGAATATGTCTTTATGGCAAACAAGTACACCTTAGGGCAGGGCAGGGCTTGGAGCAGATACCGTATGAAATACAGGGTCAGGGGTTGGTCGGCGCCAGTACAACGTGAGACGCAGGGTAGCACAGTTACAGTGTATCCAGGGTGGGTAGCACTACTACATGGTGAGGCTTTGGGTAGTACAGATACAATGTGAGGCGTTTGGTAGCACCAATACATGGCGATGCATTGGATAGCACGATACAGGTTGCGACTTTGGGTAGCACGATACAGTGTGAGACTTTGAGTAGTACAGATACAAGGTGAGGCTTTGTGTAGCACCAATACATGGTGAGACTTTGGGTAGCACGATGCAGGGTGAGGCGTTGGGTAGCACGATGCAGGGTGAGACTTTGGGTAGCACGATGCAGTTTGAGACTTTTGGTAGCACGATACAGTTTGAGACTTTGGGTAGCACGATACAGTGTGAGACTTTGGGTAGTACAGATACAGGATGAGGCATTTGGTAGCACCAATACATGGTGATGCATTGGGTAGCACAATACAGGGTGAGACTTTGGGTAGCACGATGCATGGTGAGGTGTTGGGTAGCATGATGCAGGGTGAGATTTTGGGTAGCACGATACAGTTTGAGATTTTGGGTAGCACCAAAGAGTTTCAGAATTTGGGTACACGATACAGTTTGAAACTTTAGGTAGCACGATACAGTTTGAGACTTTGGGTGGCATAAACACAGAGTGAGGCGTGGGTAGCACCAATACAGGATGAGTAGTAGAGTAGTACTTACCAACAGCTAGCTATACAGAGAGCGTGGGTGTGGTCAACATCAGCCTGAGGGGCATACAAGTAAGCCAAAGGGTGATAGCGATAAGAGGGTTTGGGGGGATAGAGATAAGCCAGTACGTGATAAAGATAACCCAGAAGGTGATAGAAATAACCCAGGAAGCGATTGAGATAAGCCAGGTGCTGATAGAGATAACCTAGCGGGTTGTAGAGATAAGCCTAGGGGGGGGGATAGAAATAGTATGAGAACTATTTTTTTCTTCTATTTTCTTCTGCGCATTCCTTATGTTATAATGACATACTTGTTTTTATGACGTAACTAAGTCACTACGGTGTACTTCTGACACATGACTCATGGATGCGATACAAACCAGGGACGTGTGCACAAAGGGGGGGGGGGGTGTAGAGGAGGCAGCCGCTTCCAATCTGAGTTAAGGATTGATAAAAAGGAGGAGCCGGGGTGGAGAAAAAAGTGTACAAAATGTAAGCAAAAAACTCATGGATGCGATACAAACCAGGGACGTGTGCACAAAGGGGGGGGGGGTGCAGAGGAGCCAGCCGCTTCCAATCCGAGTTAAGGATTGATAAAAAGGAGGAGCCGGGGTGGAGAAAAATGTGTACAAAATGTAAGCAAAAAAGTATAATTTAAAGAGAAAACAATAAAATGTGTGAAATAGTTGGACCAATGAAAAATCGTTACACCCTATTTACTTGATATCGTTCCCATGAGGCCGATATGTTTATTAGATTTTGCAACATTCCGATTATAGGCTGGACCAATAATTTAAACTTACGCCATGCCAAAAAAGTGCGTCATGCCAAAAAAAGTGTGTCATGCCAAAAAAGTGTGTCATGCCAAAAAAGTGCGTCATGCCAAAAAAGTGTGTCATGCCAAAAAAGTGTGTCATGCCAAAAAAGTGTGTCATGCCAAAAAAGTGTGTCATGCCAAAAAAGTGTCATGTCAAAAAAGTGTGTCATGCCAAAAAAGTGTGTCATGCCAAAAAAGTGTGTCATGCCAAAAAAGTGTGTCATGCCAAAAAAGTGT